ACCACCACCACCAGCCTGCACAGTGGGAACAAGGCATGATGGATCCATGTTCTCATTCTGTTTACGCCAAATTCTGAATGTCTCAACAGAAATCGAGACTCATCAGACCAGGCAACATTTTTCCAGTCTTCAACTGTCCAATTTTGGTGATCTCTTGCAAATTGTCGCCTCTTTTTCCTATTTGTAGTGGAGATGAGTGGTACCCGGTGGGGTCTTCTGCTGTTGTAGCCCATCCGCCTCAAGGTTATGCGTTTTCACAAATGCTTTGCTGCATACCTCGGTTGTAACGAGTGGTTATTTCAGTCAAAGTTGCTCTTCTATCAGCTTGAATCAGTCGGCCCATTCTCCTCTGACCTCTCGCATCAACAAGGCATTTTCGCCCACAGGACTGCCGCATACTGGATGTTTCTAGATCCTGGCAGTAGATCCTTCAAGTCCTGTAGGTTGTGAGTTGGAGCCACCTTGGATCGAACTTGGTCCAGTCGCAGGTGCTCAATTGGACTGAGATCTGGAGAATTTGGAGGCCAGCAACACCATCAGGCACTCGGATTGGTCTGACCCAGTCGCCTTGCCATACTGAAACAATTCAAAGTCGCTCTTTATTCAGGCCCATTACAAAGACACCTACATCTTGGATGCCCTTGAGGTAAGCTAAAACATGTCAAAAATTAATTTCAAAGTGAACTATCCCTTTAACTGGGTCATATCTAGGAAATGCATTCTCATCCTAGGGCGTCATATAGTGACGCGTTTGACATTTCGTCTAAATCCAACGCACATGGCACCCTTTAGCGTCAATATAACACACACAAAGCTTTGTTCGGTTAGGTCTGGGGTAGGGTTAGGATTAGACCACTAGGAGGCGCCTTCTGGCCCATATGTATCTGCGTCTCACATCAACTATTCGGAAAAACACACTCATCGCATGTATATCATTTTAAGAGTCGGATCAACTAAGAAATAGCTTTTGTATTGTATGTTGCAAAAGTACATTATAAAATGTGAAGCAATTGCTTAAGATTGATTGCTTAAGACTTGTTTTGATGCAATTCCTCAGAAGTAAAACGAAGAAATCCATTTTAGTAAGAGGAAGTTCACACTTCCCCATGCAGGACGGAGGTCACATGGGTCAAAGCAGCTGCTGGTCGAATGCCTGTTTATAACATATAACAACAGCTAATGGCTGGTCTCTTTATGAATCATGTTAAATAATTGTCAAACATGGTTAAACTCTTTGATTTATGTCAAGATGGTAGAAATTAAACATCCATTTTGTGCTATATTGCCACACCTCTATTTTATTACCACATTTTACACATACTTCACATAGAGACAGAACACGTACCAAGCTCCAAGCTACAACTAACCACAAACCAATCGAGGTTAGTTTCAAGAACAAACAAAACAAGCTATCGAGGTCCCTGAAAGATGTCAAACAGATGGAGACAGATCAAATGAAAACAAGTGAAAAATTATATTGCACTTATTTTCAGTAGCATCAATAAACAATGCATGTTGTAAATTTGGTATGTTATTACAGTAATGGTGAAAAAGCAAGCATACAACTCTTGTATTGTATTTTTCAGGCAGATGTTTCGGCTTATTTGTGCATGTAAGCAGCAACTTTGCAAAAACCCTTGCAACCACACAGCAAAACATTCGAAACATCTTATACTCCATATCAATGTGAGGTTTTGTGGCTTTAAAATTGTTTTTGAACATTTATTTCTTTTTCTTATTATTGCCAGTCATGAAGACGATGTTGCTATTTCAATTAAAACAACATTTAGTGACCTAGGCCTATTATATCCTCAAAGTTTGCAAAAAAGAATTCTTGCAATGGCAGTAAATTATTCAGAATTCATTGATTCTCATATTGGTGATAACAAAGAATAGATTTTTTTCATCTTTGCTATTTTAATTATATATTTATTAGGGCTGTGCAAAGATTAAGTGCGATTAATCGCATCCAAAATAAAAGTTTGTGTTTACATAATATATTTGTGTGTACTGTGTATAATTATTTTGTATATACACACACACATACATGTATAAGAAATTGTGTTATTCATATATAAAATATTTATATTTATATTATAGATATATATACAGCATTTATGTGCAAATAATTCTTAAATATATACATGCATGCATGTGTATTTATATTTACAAAATAATTATACACAGCGCACACACATATATCATGTAAACACAAACTTTTATTTTGGATGCGATTAATCGCAATTAATCTTCGCACAGCCCTAATATTTAGATATATTTAGGGCTGGGCAACGATTAATCGCAATTAATCGCATCCAAAATAAAAGTTTGAGTTTACATAATATATGTGTGTGTACTGTGTATAAAAATTCATATACATGCAAGTATATATTTAAGATTTTTTTTATTAATATATCAAATATTAATATTTATATTTAATATAAATTATGTATAAATATATATACAGTATATACATGCAATTTTTTTTAATATATACATGCATGTGTGTGTATTTATATATACAATATAATAATACACACTACACACCCATGTATTATGTAAACACAAACTTTTATTTTGGATACGATTAATCGTTGCCAGGCCCTAATATATATTTATACATAATTTATAATAATAAATTATAAATTTTAAATATAAATATTAATATTTTATATATTAATAACACATTTTTCTTAAATATATATATGCATGTGTGTGAATTTTATATACAAAATAATTATACACAGTACACACACATATATTATGTAAAACACTAACTTTTATTTTGGATGCGATTAATCGCGATTAATCGTTGCCCAGCCCTATTTTTGGGGGTTTTTTGTTTTGTTATTTAATTGTTAATTTCACACATTGCGTTCCCATATGAACATCATGAGCAACCCAAATTTACATGCAGAGATGCCATTTGTTAAACGGGTTATTTGTGGGTGTGATAAATGGAATGGAAGTCTAACACATTAGAAGGAAGTAACTAAGTCATCGTATTTACTTCCGTGTTGCAAGATAAGGTGGCAGTCAAAAGAAAGTCAATTCAGGAAAAAACCTGAAAGTACAGGGCAATATATACGAAGAAGCACAATGCATGAGAGTTTCTGCTCTTATCTAATCAATGACACTGCAAATATGCTTTATGGATATAATGATACCTCAGTTTGAGGCTTGACTAAGCCTTCTCCCGACTCACAGGGGTTTAGCGAGAGAAAGTGTGTAACTGTCTCAGTGGTATAGCTGGGGTGCTGGATTGGATAAAGCCTCCACTGATCTCATTGCAGGGGTCAGATGCCAAATGCCAATCTGTCTTACCTCGACGATGTCTACCTGACTAGAAAGAGAAGACACTGTAGCCTAACTTAGTACGCTCACGTGTCTAACATATAATGTAACATACTTTAGCCTGAGCTTGAGAAAGCATATGGACAATTAAACAAAAAATGTGTGTGTATGTGGGGTTTTTTTTTTTTTTGGGGGGGGGGGGGGGGGGGGATTGCATTGCATTTCATAACAATTAATGTTTATATAATTATGTCTATCAATGCATATAAATGTTCAACTTAAAAAATCAATAATGTCAAAATGCACAAATAAACAAATAAATCAATAAATACATATCACAACAGTCTTCATTTTCATTGAGCTAAATATTCTATTTCCTTTGATTTCTAGTATATATTAAAAGACTTTTGCATTGCATTTTAGTATTTTATTGTGATTATCTCTATCATTGTATAAATGCTTAATAAAAAAAACCTAAATAATAATGTCAAAATGTATAAATAAATAAAACAATGTCTTCGGTTCATAAATATCTCATTTGTCTTTAAATATAGCCTAGTCTTTATTTTAAAATAATTTAATAATGCAAAAAAATGATGTATTACACATAAATACAGTATATTATATACCATATATTATACATATCGTATTTATCGTTTCAGAGCAGCTTTACAGAAAATGCATGTCTAAATTACAATTTCTTTTGATTTTACAAGGTTTTTTTCATGCATTGTGCAGAGTAAATGCATACTGTTTTTTTTCTTTATACTGATTCAAGCACTAAACACAAGTTTCCCTTCTCTTCCTCTCTTCGACACACACACACTCAGAAGTGCGCCCGCCGCCCAAGAGAGTCATGGTGAAGGGGGTAATCTAGAATAATCCTGCTTTATTGGCTGTTACCGCTGTGACGCAGGTCCGCTCCCCCTGATAGATTCTGGGTGACATCTAGCCTGACAGTTATACACACACCTACAGTACACACACAGTTACCTGCTAGTCTCTTTCTCTCTTACATGACACACACACACACACACACACTCCGTCTCCCTCCCCCCAAACACACACGTTTGCATAGCCACATAAACAGGGACTTGACTTCCTCCAGACTTACTTTGCCCTTAAATTAAGCTAATTATGATTACTACAGACTAACCCTAACACTAAAATAAAACATGCAGCACTTTTAAAAGCCAATAAAGACATTAGAGTCTTAATGAACCCTTTTCCTTATGAGGACTCCCGTTTGTACAGTATAGGCACATTTTTCTGCAAATTTGCCTATAAAATAGCCTATAGTTCTTTGTACTTACTTGTATAAAGGTGCATCTCAAGTTTAAGATGTGATGACTTTCTCTAGAGGGCAGCATTGACACTCACTGCTATCTGTAAAGGAAGAAGAGATGTTTTTTTTCTGCTCGTCAGTTTTAATTCGTTCATTTATTATATAGGCAATTTTAAGAGACAAAGTCGATTCTTGGGGCTACATATAACAGAATTGATAAATAGCCTGAATAAAAATTAAAAAGTTCATCAAAAATCATTAAGTTATAGCCTACTTTATTATAAAAATCCCCGTATTGCTTTAACAGGTCGTAAAGGGGTATAAGTGTATAATATTATAGTAGGTGAGTAGCGCGTGTGTGGATTGGTTTACGCAGCTGTCACTCAAATTCACCGTCACTCCCGCTTTAGTTTACGGGTTAATCTCTAAGCATCCTCACTGTGCAACCGAGATGACATGAGCAGCCAGCAGTTTGACAGAACAGCTGACAATGTGATCGTACAGGTAATCCGTTCAACACATATTATTGATTATGCGCATCTATTTTATGTCTTAATCGGACTGGCAACTTATTGATTTATTTATACGTTTATTTTTCACAGAATAAAACAACATGTAAAGGCTCAACGCGTCCAGGTTTCACTTTAAAAGAGGCGACGGATAGGGTATTTTGCCACTTGAAATTCGTTTTCTTGGAAAGGCGTGCCCTGTTTTTTCTTCGTCCGACCTGAAAACTCATCGCAATCATGCAGCAATCATTCTGATTCTCACGGCCCCACGAGAGCCGTGAGAACCCGCGTCCACCGCCGTCGCCACGAACTTCAGCGCTGTGCGCAAACGGGACATCTGGCGAGCTTTTACGCACAGTAGTGAGGCGCAGCAGCGGTGCGCTGCAGGCAAAGCGAATGCATATAAACTCTCACCTGACTGACTCTTAGAATATAAATTCATGAAATTATAACATTTTCCTTACAACCGGTTATCGTTTCGCTGGACATGGCTCAAGCGATATAAAACCACAGACCTGATTCTAGGACTCTATAACAAACCGATCTCTAATCACTCGCCATGGAAGAGAATCTGAGTAACTTGAGCGTGCTGAACTGGGAGCAGGTGAAGCGCCTGGATGTCATCCTGACCGAATCCATTCCTATTCACGGCAAATGGAACTTCCCCACTTTGGAGATGAAACCTCGGGATATTGTCAAAGTGGTGCGGTGTCGCATGGAAGAGCGCAAGATCCACGTCCGGGAGGTCCGGTTGAACGGTTCCGCGGCCAGTCACGTTCTCCACGAGGACAGCGGTTTGGGCTACAAGGATCTGGATCTCATATTTTGCGCGGATCTGAAAGGAGAAGTGGCGTTTCAGACCGTCAAGGATATCGTTCTCGACTGCCTCCTGGATTTCCTGCCTGAAGGAGTGAATAAAGAGAAAATTACTCCAGTGACTTTAAAGGTAAACATTTAGTGAGCGTATTATTTGTTATCTTAATTGTGTTTTAAACCAGCGCAAACGTTTTGAGTGTGTTTTGGTGGTTTTACAGGGTTTTTTTTTAAGCAAAGTAGCTAAAATTTCCAAGCTTGAAACCTTGCAGAGGTTGATTGATTCACCCTTGAGGACGACACTTAACCTAATGTTAGCCCATCAAGACTGCCCTTTTTTTTAAGTGTAGCCACTGTCACTTCGGATAAGCGAGATTCAGCTAAATGATTACTTAGCAACTGATATAATTCCATATGTTACATGTGTTAAGTAAAGGGGAAGTGCATGGAATGCTATAATTTGACATTGACTGGACCTAGACATGCCCTAGAGAGTGTGTATTACATTAAAGCTGCAATAAGATAAGGCCACTGGTTGTAAAAACGTTGGTTTCTACTACCAAGACGATTTCGCTAAACCAATTTACGATGGATCCGCTTTCACCTCTCTCTCTACCGTATGCAAACGCACACAGCGTTTTCATGTATGCAAATTAGGCTGATACCGTTTATAGCTATAGCAATGCAATGTAATGCCTTTACTTGATAAGCAAAGTGACTTTACAATACCAAAATGGTCCATCTGCAGTCTTTTCCTATCGACAACATTTCTTTTCTTGCACATATTTCAATGATTTCAAGAAATATTTATTTGTCTGCATCTCCATCTTTCAACACACATACATTTTTCATTGATCATTATTTATAGGACTATAACACTGCCCTCATCCCAACCATTCTTTCTCTTTCCTCAGGAGGCTTATGTGCAAAAGATGGTGAAAGTGTGTAATGATTCAGACCGTTGGAGTCTGATCTCGCTCTCCAACAACAGCGGGAAGAACGTCGAATTGAAGTTCGTGGATTCCCTGCGGCGACAGTTTGAATTCAGCGTCGACTCTTTTCAGATCCGCCTGGACTCCCTGCTCCTCTTCTACGAGTGTTCGGAGAACCCCATGGCTGAGACGTTCCATCCCTCCATTGTGGGAGAGAGCGTTTACGGAGACTTCAGCGTAGCCTTGGACCACCTGCAACGGAAACTGATCTGCACGCGAAATCCAGAAGAGATCCGGGGCGGCGGCTTGCTGAAGTACTGCCACCTGTTGGTGCGAGGCTTCCGCGCCGCTTCGGAAACCGAGATGAAGCTTCTCGAACGCTACATGTGCTCCCGGTTCTTCATCGACTTCTCGGATGTGGCGGAACAAAGGCGCAAGCTCGAGTCCTACCTGCAGAATCACTTTGTGGGACTAGAGGACCGGAAGTACGAGTACCTGACCACGCTACACAGTGTCGTCAACGAAAGCACGGTGTGCTTGATGGGACACGAAAGGCGACAGACTCTGAGCCTTATCACCATGTTGGCAGTGCGCGTGTTGGCAGAGCAGAATGTAATTCCCAACGTGGCTAACGTCACTTGCTTTTACCAGCCTGCACCGTACATTGCGGACGGCAACTTTAGCAATTACTACATTGCTCAGGTGCAGCCAGTCTACACCTGCCAACCCACTCACACATTCTCACCATGGTTGCCCTGCAACTGACCGAAATGTGTTGACTCACATCTGGTCCGTTAGAGCACCCGCCCAATGACAAGTTGAGAAGTCTGTATTTTTGTGCTCAACAATGCGAGGAAAGCCCAAGACTTTCCCAATTGGCGGTCGCTAGCTCGCGGCGAAGGGAGGCTATGATCGCGCCTGATGGGGAAAAAGAGAAGAGAGAGTGATGTAACTTGGATTTGTTCCAATGTGGCAGCATGTTCTACCTAGGCTTACCATGGCAAAGTGCCAGTGTGCCTAGAGAAGCGCAACACTGGCTGAGAGGAAACAACACAGTCTTTCTTTTGTGTGTGTGTGTACATATGTGTTATAGTCATACTTGAAGAATCGAAGAGATCCTGCATATCGCGTTGAAAGATTAGTGTTGACGGTTTTTGCAATGCTCATTTCGAAATGCTATCAGACACGAAGAACTGAAATCAATGGACACTTTTCTCAAGCCAAGGATATTCTCGTAGATACAAGATACCCAAAACAGATTATCGACTAAGTGCCTTAAACTGAAAAAAATGAAAGTCACTCTCTTCATCCAATCTTTTTGGAGTCACATATTGTAGTAAATGGGTCACGAATTTCCAACTAATAGTTGCAACACCTAATTCTTATAATGTATTTAATTTGGCACCACAATAGTGAGAATTAGAGGTCCTACATGAAAGTGTTGCACATTTCCACCCGAGGCATGCGCGTATGAGTTTTTCACAGCTTCTTGTCTCATCTAAACTGACCTCAATATACTGTTGGCTCAGCGCTGGCTTAGCTCAGATTAAAAAGTCCAGGGCAATGCCATTACATCTAAGGCAGAGAGGTAAAACAGGTCAAAGCCGAACAGGAAGAGAATTAATGAAAGTTGTTTAAGTCCAAATTGTTGTTGTTACATCCAGGTTACCTAGCGTCTTTCTGCAGGCCTAATTATCACACAGCCACCAAATCTAGAGATTATACCTTTGACACATCTGACCTGCATAACCTGGAGGATTAAGACCAGCAGTGAGAAGCAGAAGCACAATTAAGGGAAGTTCAACAAGAAACCAAAGATATTCTTAATGTTCCTCAAGATTGTGAAGCAACAATACTTGACGTAAGAGCATCTACGTGTGGTTGGATCCCCATTTGAATTATTCCATAAAGTCTTGCAAATGTATACTGTTAAAGCTAGGGTTGGGTATCGTTTGAATTTGAACAATTCTGATTCCGATTCCGATTCCTTGTTTCGATTCCGGTTCCTAACGATTCTCGTTTCCGATTCTTTTAAGAGGCAGGGTCAAAAAAAGTTTAGCTAACCTTGCTAACCAACGGCCTTTCTGAAGGAAATACTCCTTCTGAAAAAATACTCCTTTTGTCACAAATTTTGCATTTTGCCGAGATTTCGTTATTTTTAGAAAAGTGAAGCCACACTTTGGATCGCCGACGTAAGGTACTCATGTTCGACTCGCGTGGTTATGCCGCTTCTTCGTTGGTGTTGTTCAGCGGTTTCTTCTTCCGCTCGGCGGACTGTGAATATCGAAACTAGGAATCGAAATTTTAACTTTTGAACGATTCCGGGAAAAACGAAAAGTTAGTCTCGGTTCCAATCGATACTCGATTCTCGATACCCAACCCTAGTTAAAGCCTTGTCCCAAACGCTCCCCTGAGTCCTTGTGGTCCTCCTCAGTCTACACTTGGTGACGCAATGCTGCATAGACTGTATGGTTGTAGCCCATCAAAATTGGTGCACCCTTCAGAATCCAAAAATGGGACACCATGCGGTTACATGCATGCAATGGCTGTCACGAGTCTGCAGGATTGCAAGTTGGGACAGGGCCTAAGTTTGTAGGATAAATTCGCCCTAACTGATCCTTTCATCCGCTCCCTCACATATCATCATATCTCTTATTTTTCTACTGATTCTTCTATTTTTGTACATTGGTGATGTTTATGAAAAGGTCTCGGTAAGGACCTTACTCTAATGCTGTGAAGAGTAACTGTTGTCTTTTACGAGTCAAATGAAAACCCGGCCGAGCATTAGTGCAGCAAATTCTCAACGAGCGTTGGTGTAAATTTTCATACTGAGTCATTACGGTTGCATGCCCACACAAGTGTGAATGTCCCTGTGTATGTGTGTTTTATCTTCTAAATTAAACATGTATGTGAATTCGGACTGAGTGTCGATTTCGCAATGCATCATGTATTTGCAAACATGGATGACTCATTAAATGGTGATTTTGAAAAACACATCGACTCAGTGATGATTGTTAGCAATAAAGATAACCCACACAAGTCACTTTTTGACCCTAATCTCTGGTTGGCCTGTAGATGATCTCTTCCTGTTGTGTGGTTTTAACAACACTTACAGACAGCATGGTATTCAGAAAGCCCCAATGAGCACTACAAATGCATTTTGCAGGTTAAAATCATGCTAGACCAGGAGTGTCCAAGCTCCAACACCAATTAAACACACCTAACCCAGCTAATCAACAAGGTCTTACTAGGCATACTAGAAAGTTGGAGCTGAACTTTGCAGGACAGTGGCCAAGTTTGGACACCTCTGTGCTAGACCAATGGCTGTATAAGATGGTGTTTCCAGCAGGCAATTGTGTTAAACACATCTAGATTCTGCAAATGCATCACATTGATTAACACTTGCAAATGCACCACCTTAAAACCCAACATTTCTTGTATCACTCCTAGACTGTTAGTCTCTTATGCTTACAATTGCAGATGGTCAGTATGTTTAGAGTACATCACTGTTGGCCAAAGGATGCACCAATCTACCTGTTTAACCATGTCTCCATATAATCTAATAGGCAACTGTATGTCTCTCAACAGACCTGTAACGGTTAGCTAAGCAGCACACAGTGCAAGTAGCCCAGATAGCATGTAATCAATGAAACAATGTTGACTGTGTTGATTACTTCAATGCTAATTGCATTGAATTAACGTTACAAAGTGCCAGTTAAATGATGAAATGATGATGCAATAGTATTGATTCAACATTACAAATCTATTAATGCTTCAATATCAAAATAAATCACTATGGAAGGGGTGTCCGATTTTATCTCCAGCTCTAATTTAATTTAATGTCATCAGGGTCAATGAACACTTCCAGTCCAGGCCACGTTTACACAAAGCCGGGTTTTTAGAGAAACAAATATTTCCCCCCTCCCCGTTTTCAATATAACATCGTGCACACACCCGCATAAATACGCCGTCGAGTGCCATCATATCTATGCCAAACCTATGGGGGGCAGTGTAGGGAGAAGGATAAAGCCATGCAAGCCAATCAGAATCCTCAGAATTGACAAGAGAGAACCTAAAACGCCTTTTCTCCCAGTTGACACGACAACACATAACCGGCGTTTTCAGAAATCTCCACTTTGGCCGGAGTTTTTAGAAATAATCGTTTTCTGTAATAAAAACGGATTTTTCGTGTAAACGAGAGGCCAAACCGTAGGGAAATATCTGCGTTTTCCCTTCGTGTACACCTCTGAGCTATAGCCATTAACGTTTACACAAAGGGAAGACGCAGATATTTCCCTGCGGTTTGGCCGAGTGATTCCGCGTGTATGTACACGCCGTTAAAAGTCTGAGCGAAATGAAGCAAAATGTAGATCTACATCTGGGGAGCGAATTTTTCCTAGGATGGTAGGGGAAGACTCATAGATGGTATTAACCCCTGTGACGGGAAGGTTTAGGGACGTTTATATTTATATATACAGCAATGTAACGGCATTCATGAACATGCTGAAAAGCGATTATGCGTGTTGATGGCACACCAAAAATGGAAATACGAATTGGCGTGTCATACATAACCCATTTCATGTAACATTCTTGCTCATGTTCATGTCTCCTGTACTTCAAGAAATCTGTTGAATGACGTTAGAACTTTATTCAGGAAATTCCTAATAAACTTTACTACAGCAAGATGCATTTTATTCAAACAGTTTAATAACTTTTTAATGTATCTAATTACAGTGAGTAACAACGCAAATAAGCACGCAAAACAAAGGAACAGAGAAATAAGGTAGATGCACCATTGTTTGAAACTGTGAGAAGTCATGTAAGTATGTCAGGTGCTTTAGCAAACAAGACTTCTGTATAGGATTTTTTCTCTCTAATGGGGAAGCATTAGACTAATGAGAAGTGCACATGCAAAACCAAAATGGGTATTTTCCAATCAGTGGCCAATTTCAAACAATAAATGTTTTTCAACCATTTTTCAACAGACTTGCTAAAATCATGAAGGCCCACCCCTAAACCAAGCCCCCAATGGATTACAGCAAAACGCCCTAATAATTGAGAAACACCCACTAGTGTTCTGCAGGGATACATGCCTGAATGATCTCGTGCTCATCACCTACAAATCACTGTTCAATGTCACGGTCTCCACCCATGTGCTGTTGGCTTTCATCAAAATTTCAATGCTGATCCAACACACTTTAAACATTGAAATGTCAATGTCAACCAAAATGATGGTTTGGATTCAAACTCAACATTGTATCAATGTCACTATGCTATCTGGGAGATTTATTGTAGCCTGCGTCATGTTGGCGTAGACTGGATATCCCTCCACCTGTCTCTAACTCTCCCTCATTTACTTTCTCCCCTTTCTCAATAGCAATTGCTGCTATAGCACTCTTGACTAACACAGTCTCATCCCAAATCGTCATATAACTGACGTTTTGGGACGTATTTTGACCATACGTCAATATCCGCCTTTTTAGGGCCCCCTTAAACGTCGGTAGATGGCGATCCCGGGCCGTCATACAACTGTCGCTTTACCTTTAACGTCAGTTAGGTGACGGGTTAGGTTTAGGTCTGGGGTAGAGTTAGGATCCCATAACCTCATCTACCGACGTTTAAGGGGGCCCTAAAAAGGCGAATATTGACGTATGGTCAAAAGACGTCCCAAAACGTCAGTTATATGACGATTTGGGATGAGACCGGGTTGTCTTGACTTGGCAACGAAATTTTTGGATATGTAGATTTTATACTAGTGTCAAATCGATTAATCGCAATTGATCGCATCTAACATAAAAGTTATATATATATATATACTGTGTATACATGTGAGTGTATGTGTGTGTATTAGATATTTGCACATATTAGATATTTACATACTTTTATGTTAGATGCGATTAATTGCGATTAATCGAATTGACAGCACTATGTTCTACCTTTTTATTTGTGCTGTTATCTTCATGTTGAGTCTCTCACACTTTTTTTCCATCTTCCTCCCAGTGTCAATACATCCGTTGGGCCTGCTGGTGAAACAAAATACAGAATAAACCAGCCTAAGTCAGCCTGCTGATATTCAACGTTTCATGGTTTTGTAAGATTTACTCACTTTGTATTCATGGGTGTTGAATTGGCCACACTCCATAAGAAGTTGAACTGGAATGTCAGGAAGAGGAGCTTTCTGACTTGTAATTCAAAGAAAGTCAACAAAGACAATGCATTGTGGGAAATGAAGTGTTCTTCCACTCTGGTAAACTAAAGTTGTTATTCAATATGATGAAATATATTAACAAAATACACTGCTTTTTTCTAAACTTTCAAAGATGAATTTGAGAAGTCAACAAACTGCATTGATAAACCCTTCTTTCTAGTAATTCATTTAATTTCAATGTATTTTAATGCTAACTTAAATTGGAATTTAAAAGGAAAGTTTGAGGCTGGTTTAAACTAGACAATGCAACGCAAACTCACTTTATAATCACACACTTAATATTTAGACTTTTTGTCACGGCATGACCTTGTTAGACAGAGTACTAATAATCCCTCTGCTTATGTTGGAAAGTACAATTTAGCTCTCTTAGGAAGCAAAATATGATTCTTGCCCAAAAAGTTTGAGGATGAGTCATTTGTCAAAAAAATATTGAGTTCCTGGAGCTTAAATGGTGAAGTATGGCACAAATGACAAGGCCATGTGGTTTCTGCCAAAATGCTTATGGTGAAGGTTAGCCTAACTATGTGGCATTGGGAGATAACTTAGCTAAGACCAACATTAATAGATGCTGAAATAGCTTAGCTCCCACTTTTGGCCTACGTGGGCTAGTTCAGCTTGCCCTCCGGGTCTGACTGGATGAATAATTGGGTCTAAGGGTATGTTAACGTATAGGCAGGGCTAACGTTATCCTCTCGTTAAGCGGCACTTCAAATATACTATATTTAGCTCTCCATGAGAGGGATATTAACCCATCTTCCCTAATCTGATTAACTGCTTAATAGCCTTGTACTCAACAGTCTTGGGTAGTTATAGCCCTTGGGTTTATGAGTATTGCACTGAACACATACACCAGGGTGAGAGTGCCCTCCCTTACCATTAAATTAGACAGTCGGGTCAGTGTGCATTGAATTTTGTCGAGATGAAGATACGGATAGAAAAAGAGTGAGGATGAAAACGGTTCTTTCTTTCCCCAGTTCATCTCCTTCCCATGCCCAAACAAAAGCTCGCTCTACTAAGCTGCAATCCTAGACAATTCGCCCACTGACCTAGCCTCGAGCTAACCATGTGACATGCTAATTAATCTGACGATCTGCTTTTACTTATTCATTTCTACCATTTGTATGCAGTTCCTCATGCTAAGTGTTCCCTTCCCATTATGAACTGGCACTTCATGGGCTATTTTGAGAGAATTGAAACCAACAGTCCCACCGTCTGTCTTTGTTCTATCTAGAGTGCCTCCTTGTGACAAAAATGATGTAGTACATCCCAGAATGAGCCGTGGAAAAATACTTCAGCTGCTTCGCAGATAAGCTGATTTAATTCAAATCCATGTGTAAGAATTACAAGGCACAATGAATATTGCTAAATGGCTTTAAAACAGAGATGTTTGATTGATTGCTTACAGAAAGGGTTTTGCAGTAGTCTTTGAAAGCATCTTAGCCTAGAACTTTCTCCGGGAAGGTTTGTTACAACATGGGTTTTGTTTCTCAAATATACATCGAATTTCTTCTGAGAATGATTATAAACATGATGAGGCTCTGAAGCGACTAGTGGGCAGATGAGTTTATCACTTGGCTGATGGCGGTTATACACTCACCTAAAGGATTATTAGGAACACTTGTTCAATTTCCCATTAATGCAATTTTTTTAATCAACCAATCACATGGCAGTTGTTTCAATGCATTTAGGGGTGTGGTCCTGGTCAAGACAATCTCCTGAACTCCAAACTGAATGTCAGAATGGGAAAGAAAGGCCATTTAAGCAATTTTGAGGGTGGCATGGTTGTTGGTGTCTGAGTATTTCACAATCTGCTCAGTTACTGGGATTTTCACGCACAACCATTTCTAGGGTTTACAAAGAATGGTGTGAAAAGGGAAAAACATCCAGTATGCGGCAGTCCTGTGGGCGAAAATGCCTTGTTGATGCTAGAGGTCAGAGGAGAATGGGCCGACTGATTCAAGCTGATAGAAGAGCAACTTTGACTGAAATAACCACTCGTTACAACCGAGGTATGCAGCAAAGCATTTGTGAACACACACAACCTTGAGGCGGATGGGCTACAACAGCAGAAGACCCCACCGGGTACCACTCATCTCCACTACAAATAGGAAAAAGAGGCGACAATTTGCAAGAGCTCACCAAAATTGGACAGTTGAAGACTGGAAAAATGTTGCCTGGTCTGATGAGTCTCGATTTCTGTTGAGACATTCAGAATTTGGCGTAAACAGAATGAGAACATGGATCCATCATGCCTTGTTCCCACTGTGCAGGCTGGTGGTGGTGGTGTAATGGAGTGAGGGATGTTTTCTTGGCACACTTTAGACCCCTTAGTGCCAATTGGGCATCGTTTAAATGCCACAGCCTACCTAAACATTGTGTCTGACAATGTCCATCCCTTCATGGCCACCATGTCCCCATCCTCTGATGGCTACTTCCAGCAGGATAATGCACCATCTCACAAAGCTGGAATCATTTCAAATTGGTTTCTTGAACATGACAATGAGTTGACTGTACTAAAATGGCCGCCACAGTCACCAGATCTCAACCCAATAGAGCATCTTTGGGATGTGGTGGAACGGGAGCTTCGTGCCCTGGATGTGCATCCCACAAATCTCCATCAACTGCAAGATGCTATCCTATCAATATGGGCCAACATTTCTAAAGAATGCTTTCAGCACCTTGTTGAATCAACGTCACGTAGAATTTAGGCAGTTCTGAAGGTCAAACACAGTATTAGTATGGTGTTCCTAACAATCCTTTAGGTGAATGTATGTACCTGACAGTCTCATTTAGTAGCCACCTTGTTCCAAACACGTAAAAGCTTTCAAAAAAAAAAAAGTGAAAATATCTTGTGCTTGTGTTAGTCACGGATATTATTTCAAGCATTTAACCTTAAACCATTAAAAAAACAAACCCATTGACTTCAGGATGTTGGAACTGGAAGCTCAGACTTATTTATGGCTTATAGGACTCATTCCTGCTGCAGCCAGATGCCGTTATTACATCTGTGAACCAGGCTTACTTATATATTTGGCTAGATCTTATAATATATTTCTTTTAATGTGATCACCACACATTTAATAACTGAGGCTTGACTACCACAGTAACGTAAGAACATTACTGTACGCTTCTGGCCAAACTGTGACATATCTTGTTGTAGTACGACTGTTCTGTATTGCACACATCCATATATGGCAATTTAAAAAGTCATGTTTTCAGAAAAACGAGCTGTCGGTGATGTAAACCATGAAAACGTCAGATTCAGGCGTTGTTGTGGACACTGTGAGCATGTCCGCTGGTTCCCCCTCTTTCTAACAGAGCAGTTGTTTGGATTTCTCCCTGCGTGAGACAATGACCTCTGACTCTTTACGGATCTTGTCGGTTGGATTCTCATCAGACCAATGAAGGATATTCCAGACGAGGATATCGCTCTTTGTCTTTGTGCGATAGAGAGAGAGTTCGGGAAAAAAGGGAGGCGGAGTAGGGTTTCACAGAATCAGAAACGCTTGAGCCAGCAGCGATAATGCAATCTACAGTTTAAAGCTCCAAAAACTGTCTGTCATTCAAACATCCCATCCAAAAGGAAAAATAACTCGATAGTTATGCAAATAACATAAATCTCCGAACGCTGATCTTACGTCTCAGTTTGCAAAACTAAAATTGCTTAAACTGCCTTCCTTTGAGACACCCAAACAAGCAGACGTTTCTTAATGTTAATGCTGACCATGCAATATAAACACGGGCAAATGAAGGCCTCGAAACGGAGCGAGAGATCCTGGTTGTTAGTGCATGCTGAAAGTAATATTCAGTGCCCACATTGACTGGCATTTTCCTTCTGCTCAATATTAACACGAGCGCATGTGCTTGTCTACGCAGCGGGTGGGCATCTGTGGCAGCAGACACCATGAGATGAAAGTATTATGGTGATTGGCCAGACTTCTGCTTAGGAATGAGGGGGCTTTTCCACACCATCTATAAATCTGCTGATAAACGGGACAAGCCGAGTGCAAATCTGGCAAAAGCGATGGCTCCTCCGCGCACAGCCATATTCCTGTCTGAGAATGTCATTATGGGAGCCTGCAGAGGGATCAGAACAATAAGGGTTATCGAAGAAGCATTCTTGATTAATCTGTAGAAAACATATACCTGAAAAGATGTGCAAAAATGCATGTACGCTGATGTGGTGGCTAATTAAGCCACACTTAAAGATTTATGAATTTCAAAATTTAAAACAAAGTGGGATCTACAAACGTTCGCCATTCAGACGGAAATTCAGAATGCCTTTTAAATTCCAAACCAGTTCTTGATTTTGATTTTTATTCTTATATATATATATATATATATATATATATATATACAGAATTAAAGTTTTTTTTTTAAATTGGACGAAAGTAAAAAAAAAATGGTGTTTTTTGTAATAATAATTAGATGATGACAAAGATAGACAGAACGACAGACCAATATGATGGATGGATGGATGGAACGATATATGATAGATATATGTAAATAATGGATGGATAGATGGATGGATAGATAGATGGTTTCACATCCAAATTGGCCAGTTTAAGTGTTTAAGTATCAACCCGATCGCACGGCAGTTCGTACGAATTTTACGAGGTGGCTAATCCGTACGAGCTCACTCGTACAAATTAGTACCTTTTTTGCTAAATCGCACATATTTTACGAGTTGGCCAATTCCTATGAATTTGTACGAGTTACCTACCCCTGACCCCGCCCCATTACGTGGGTTTAGACAAATCGTACGAATTCGTACGAGTGAGGTCATATGAATTAGTACGAATTAGCCACTTTTTAATCAGTCGTACGAATGGTCGTGAGATAGCGTTGGTATTACAGATGCATAGTTTTTCTCAGTCGCTTTGGTACATTTCTCAGATCAGAATTGAAATTCTCAAAACTACCCATTCAATATTCACATCATTGTGTCACTTGTGCACATCAAAAAAGCCGTTTCTCATTTCTTTGAACAAGTTGCAAATGCTTTGGTACATCCATGCAACATTCACAACATTTCTACATTTTTCTTTGCTTTGCAGTGCTGTCTTTTCCTTTCTGTATTGCAATGACATGGTTTGTTACTTTACAAACAGTAAAAGCGTACTGTATGTGAATCTTGTCCAGTCTCTTGCAATCAAACTCCCACATACACTAAGGTGTGTAACCTACAATTTACAATAATTGTCATCAAAACTTCAGCCATAGTTTACATCAGAACATCCTTCCGGGAACACTGTCATATTGACAACATGACTAAGCAATTTGACTGACTTATCCGTACACAACGACACAAGGACTTGTCATTCTGATGGCACTGACATGTTCATTGACACACATATTTACTTTTGAGAGATGAACTAAGGATTTTGAGCAAGTGGCTGAAATCCATGTGTGCCAGAAGTTCTGAGAAGTCGAGGATGATTCGAGAAATGTGCCAAAGCTACTGAGAAAAACTGTAATATGTATTTTTTCCCCAAGGGATTAGAAGTTGAACTGGTCGATCGACTCAACGCTGTTTGACGGACAGTTGTGGGATATTTCTAGATCAGTTCAGCAGGTAAATGTCTGCGGTTGATTCTCATTTAGAAGCTGATGCTGTGAACCCACATCATGAGGTCAGGGGAGATCTCCAACTAAACAAATCCATCAGAGAGACAGCAGCAACATTAGGAGAAGCCAAATCAGCAGCTTGGGACATTCTGAGAAAAAGTTCAGCAACATAAAAAGTCCTGGACGTCCACGGAAGACAACAGTTGGGGATGATCAAGGGATCATAAACCTCTTCAAAACACCCAGCCAAGTGAAGAACACTCTCCAAGACGGGTCATAGCCAAAGTAAACAATCGAGAGAATACTTCACGAGAGCAGACAGCAACAGTGGCGGCCCAGATCCGGGCCGAGTGAAATCCAGTCGGAATCCAGTCCAGTCGTGCGCCAGATCTGGGCCGAACCTATGTTGTTATCTGAGGAGGGTTCAAACCATTCATAAATAAGACTCAAGAATAAAAATGCAAGGCAAGGCAAGTTTATTTATATAGCACATTTCATACACAGTGGCAATTCAAAGTGCTTTACATGGAAGAAATTAAAATAATCAAAAGAAATCAGAATAATTTAAAAAATCGTAATCGTAAAAATAAAATACAGTAAATAATTAAAACAATTTAAAATAAAAAGTAAAATGAAGTACAGTAATAGTAAAAAGCACAGATCAGACAGCGCAGTCTCATCGTCTCGACGTTTTAATTATACGTCAATATCCGCCTTTTTAGGGTACCCTTAAACCAGAGGTCTCAAACTCGCGGCCCGCGGGCCATTTGCGGCCCGCGGGATGATATTTTGTGGCCCCCTACTTGATATTAAAGTTTAATGTTAGTGCGGCCCGCCATTGCGTTTGCCGCGTTTTTTTATTATTAATATTTTTATCCCTTATGGGCTACCATATATAGTCTCGTGACAGCTTACGGTGGGTTTGTTGTCAGTTGTCATAGACAACCACGAAGTACAAATATACTGCGCCTGGAAAAAATGAGCGCGTCGCTTCAATTATGAGGGCGCTTGATGCGCGCCTACATCTGAAACGTACGTACTTGAGCGTGCAAAATATGTGAGCGCGATATGTGAACAAGGCGAGCTACCACCACCAAATCAGGCCACAGCTCGCGAGCGACGTGTTGGATACCCCTGCTCTAAAACAATGTGAGAATAATCATTTTGAGCTTGTAATATGCGTTGTGTCTGAACGCGTTCAATGAAAGATATAGTTCATGATCTCGTTCATATTTTGGGCGAACGTGAACTGAACGTAGCCTACTGTATTACTGCCTGATGAAAGTTACAGTGAACTCGTTCATTCTAGTAGTGTCTGTGAACCGAGGAGCGAGGAGGCGTCGTAAGATCATTTAAAAGGCTTTTATGAGGTCGGTGAGGATGGGAAAATC